CAACCAACTGCATACTGAGTCCCTCTGATAGACACCAAGGTATAGAACTGTGAACAAGACATGATGACAACCTCTTTGGAACTCACAATTTTAAACTAGGGGCCAGCATTGTAGCACCATGGGTTAAGCCACTGGTTGCAATGCCAGTATCCCATATGAGTGCCAATTCTAATGCCAGCTATTCTACTTTTGATCCAGATCCCTGCCAATGCCTCTGATAAGCAGCAGAAAATGGTCCGAGTACTTGGGTCCCTGCCACCCATATGGGAGTCCTGGATGGAGTTGCTGGCTACTGGCTTCATCCTGGCTCAGTCCCGGCTACTGGGGTCATTTGGGGAGTGAGGAAGCAGATAGGAGATCTCTTTCTATGTGTGTATCTCCCTCTCCCAAAACTCTGCTTTTGAAATAAATTAAGCTTTAAAAAAAAAAAAACAGGAAATAAAGAATCATGATATTTAACACCCTATCCCACTGGTTCTCCTAATGGCAGCTGTTCAATTTTCTTTTATTCAAAAATACATGTAGTCAAGACTAGGGGGAGAAAAAGAACACCATTTCCCTCCCCTTATAATTCCATCTTCCTAAATTCTATTTTAGCAACCTGAACAGGACAAATTGACTGAAGAAAGAGAAAATTCCAAGTCTTTAACAGACCATGACAAAAATAGGGCTAAATAATTATTTCTAAGAAAATGAAATTACTTTTTTATCACCATACACTGAATGGCTTTCCCTATTGTCCCCTGTAAATCTATAATAGCACTAGTTACCGAATGCACACTTCCTGACAATAGACAATACAACTGAAAAAATTAGTCTCCTGAGTGCAAAATAACACTTTCATAACAATGGGCAATTCACGGCTGCTCTCTCCAGACCTCTGCAGAACAGAATACCGATGCAAGCTAATTATATGAGCGAGCTGAAAGTTGTGTGCATAATGGAAAAGACATCCCCCTAAAGAATAGCTGAGAAAGGATGGAAGGTCCACGTATAAAACAACAGAAGAGAAGTGAGAGAGCAAACACAAGAGCAAATGCACAGGTGTTATTAGCATAGTGCAGCTGACCACCCTGCTGATGCACACAAAGCAGCTGTAAATTCTCTGCCTTGAAGAAGACACCTTCCAGGATTACAGAACTGTTTCCCTATGCTGACTCATGGGTTTTCTTCACAGTGGACAGATTATTGGTCATTCTTACGCTGAAGTCTACTGTCACTTTGGGGTGCAGAAATGGTTAATGTCAATGAGAGGTAAAGTAAGTGAAAGACAAGTTTCTCAGATTGATATACATGTTGGGAAAGGAATAACCAGCTTTCCACAGGGTAGGTGGAGCAGAACCAATTCTTCTCAGTTCTACTTTCCATGTGCCCTTTGTCTGATGTGTGAAGGGTCCTGCAAAAAAAGTTTGGAATTTGAGTTCCTCAGGGAAAGTTTCAGAAAGAGTCTTGGAACACCTATAGACCAAACAAGCAACAAATAACAGTGCCAACACCATCAAAACGATGTGAAGTGCCATCTATGATGTGTGACCAACTATCAGTACACCCTAGAACCTAGTGAATTCATCATGTGAGGGGAGAATTTGCAAAAGTGTTTGCCCCACCCATTCTACAGTAATTTTGGAGTCTTGGTATTAACTATGGCCCATTCAAATTGTGTAATCTAGGAAAGGCTTAGAGGGGCTGGTGCTGTGCCAGATTTGAGTCCTGGCTGCTCCACTTCTGATCCAGCTCTTTGTTAATGCACCTGGGAAGGCAGTAGAAGATGGAACAAGTGCTTGAGTATACTGAGTTCTGACTCAGTATCAAGTGGGAGAGTATCATGTGGGAGAGCCAGATGGAGTTCCAGGCTCCTGGCTTTGGCCTGGCCCAGCTTGGGCTCACTGTGGCCATTTGGGTACTGAATCAGTATACGGAAGACCTCTCTCTCCCTCTCTCCTTCTCTCTCTCTCTGTCTCTCCCTCTCTCTCTGTGGTGTGTGTGTGTGTGGGGGGGTGTGTCTAACTCTGCCTTTCAAATAAATAATTAAAACTTTAAAAAAAAGAGGAAAGAAAGAAAGGACTTTTGCAAAGGTCTGGACAGGATATAGGGAACTCCAAGTACAATATCAGAGAACTGTGAACAGCCTATCCCTAATTGGAGAATCCAGTGGAGGGCATGAAGAGAGAACGAGAACAAGAGAAAAACAATATAAATCATGCCCTTCAGTTAAGCAATGCAGCACCTTCCTTTGGTCAAGGAGGTCACTAATCTGCAACAACACCTCAGAGAGAGAGCTTCCTTTCTCTCCTCTCTTTCTGATCTCTTTCTTCAGCTCCCCCATGGTGGGGAAGACAAAAAACAAAACAAAACCTCAGCACAAGAGCCCAGAGCCTACTATGTCCACGTAGGCCAACTTCCACACAAAGACAAAGACAAGACCATAGTGCAGAATCAAGAGGGGTGGAAGCAGATCAGATGCAGCAAATGGAAAACACAAGGCACAGAGAATTCCTCTAGCAAGTTGAGGCTTCATCAGTTGGACTTTAAGGAAAAGATAACAAAAATTTTAATAGGGCCATCTTTCTGTAATATGGCAAGTTAACATACAGGACTGAATTATCAACACAGATTAACTAAAATCAGAGTTCTGACCCAGTATCAAGCTTTTCTAACAACTTAAAGGATCCTGGAAGTAAAGACCCTCAAAGCACATAAACTTGGGACAAGAAGGAGGGGTTCCCTAGTCCTGTTTTCCCACACTGAACATGGCCCAGATTGTAATAAGGTTTCTAAGTGAAGTCCATGGGTTTCCTCACTCCTCAGAGATATCTCTGTTTAAGATATTTATTTATTTATTTATTTGAAAGGCAGAGTTAGAGAGAGGGAGGGAGACACAGAGAAAGAGACAGTGATCTTCTATCCTCTGGTTTACTCCTTCAAAGAGTTGCAATGACCAGGGATAGGCCAGGCTGAAGCCAGGAGCTTCTTCCAGGTCTGCCATGTGGGTGTAGGGACGCAGGCACTTTGGCCATTCTCTGCTGCTTTCCCAGATGCACCAGCAGGGAGGTGGACAGGAAGTGGAACAGGCGGGACGTGAACCAACGCTCCAACGGGATGCCGACATCCCAGGTGGAGGCTTTACCCATTATGACATAGGAACATTTTAACAGGGAAGATTTTCCTTACATACCCAGGAAGTTGCCCAGTGCACCTGCCATTCTCCAGGGAGCCCTCTTCTGGATCCCAGCTCCACTAACTAGAAGTACTACTTCAGCCAAGGATCAGCCTGCTGGGGACAGTCAATGAAAAATGTCCCATCCTCCACACAAATATGTTTCATAAGTCTACCTAGTGGTTCTGTTGCAAATCAGGTCAGATCAAGTTATCTATCTTCATGTCTTTGCCCCCAGGGCAACCTCCCATGCCCCTAGGGATGGGATCATAGGGTTTAACTTCTTCCTCCCACAAGCAGTGTGTGTGTGTGTGTGTGTGTGAGAGAGAGAGAGAGAGAGAGAGGGAGGGAGGAAGGGAGAGAAGGAGAGATAAGGAAAGACAGATTCTTAGGAAGAGAAAGAAAATATGGATGGAAGGGGGAAACCCCTGGAGCTTGCTTGCACAGGACCAGCATGAGGAAATGAGTGTACCTCTGATACCATCTCTGCCCTTGTCAGGCAAGCATGCAGCAAAGGGCACTCAGGTACAGGCTCTCAGCATCCTCAGGGGACCAGCTGAGGCCTCCTCATGAACACTGAAATCTGAGGATGCTCAAGTCCACTGTACTCAATGGTGTAATATTTGCAACTAACCTACACATGCCCTCCTGTTTGCTTTAAATCATCTCTAGATTTCTTAAAATACCCACCACAATGTAACTGCTATAAAAATAGTTATTATATTGTTATATTAAAGTAATAATAACAACAAAAAAGTATACATGGCCACTAGAAATAAACATTTTTCAAATATGCTCAATCCTTGGCTGATTAAATACATGGATGCAAAACCCAAAATCAAGCAGGGCCAACTGTACTTCCTTTGAGAGAAATTACAGGCAATTGCATGTCCTCCCCATCTTCTCACCCCCACACACAAACACTTCCTTTAGCCAACACTGGTACGTTCTTCTTCCAGGTCCAAGCAAAACACATCAGCATCAGACCAATAGTGCCTCTTCCAAGTATGAAACATGCAGATTTTAGACTTCCCATTCCCCAAGATGCAGGAGAGAATGTCATGTACTCTCTAATATACAGGATCATAAGCAGGCCTGGGAGACGTGTTGGGGCGGGGGGGCAGGGGGCATCACAGCTGGGACTGAGGTAAGTCCATTAGCCTTCAAAAATTGTAAGTGTATTGTTGTCCAAGGGTACACTTTTGCAGGACAGGTCCAGAACATGATCTGAATTTTCTAAAGGACCAAGAGGCCTATGAAAGAAGTTTAGCCGGTAAAATCACATCATAAATTTTAAAACTTTATTTTGATTTATTTGAAAGGTAGAGAAACACAGAGAGAGATCTATCTGCTAGTTCACTCCCCAGATACTTGCAATAGCCAGGGCTGGGCTAGGAGGCAGCCAGGAGCCCAGAACTCAACCCAGGTGTCAGTCCTGAGTGGCAGTGCTCTCCGCACTTGAGCCATTCCTACTGCCTTCCAGGGATGCACATTAGCAGGAAGCTGGACAGGAAGCAGAGGAGCCAGGACTCACAGGAGAAACTCTGATATGAGATGTGGGTGCCCCAAAGGGCATCTAAACCACTATGCCAAATGCCTGCCCCTAAATACATTTTTAATAAATGTGGACTGAGAGACAGATATGTTGAGTCCCACTGTCAGGCTCTCCTGGTTTCCACCCTGCCCATCCCCTCACTGACAGGAACTTCTCCGAGCCCAACCGGTCAAAGTCTTTAGAACAAAAACTATCTGATTTTGCAAATGATTTCAAAGATGCTGCAAAACATTTTGAATACAAAACACTTATTTTAAAGTTAAATTACATGCACTGAATAGAACTCACCCTTTGGTTTGGTTCGGTAAAGCCTTAAAGCCATAGTGCAGCTTTGTGCATTTCTCTGACAGCTGCAGGGACTCCTCTTTCAGATCTGTGCTGTTTCATGAAAAAGATTAAAAAAAGGATTTAAAATGAGAGCTTATAAGATATTGTTAACAAAGATCAGATTTAATTGATAAAATAGGTGTCCAAATGAAGTCCGATTTTCATTCCATTATTGGATTTCTCCATGGAAAAGGAAATTGATATTTTCACCTCTGACAGGTCTAAATTAAAAAAAGAAACACCCTATAAAGCCAAACAGAAGAGTTCTACATTGGAGACTCTGTGTTTCCAAATTTTCATATTTTGAGGTTAGAACTTACAACGAACAAGTTATTGAACAGTTTTAATGACTATGTTTGTAAATAGCCTTTATTTTCCAAAGATGTTACCTCCGGTGAAAAGTATGCAAACACAGGAGATCAATACTTCTCTCCATGAGGAACACAAGGTAAACCTGCCTTTCATTATTATCATCCCCATTCTGTAAGCACCTGCTAATGCTTCCTCAACCCAGAAAATCGGATGCAAACAAATCTAAATCAAAAGGCAGGTTAAGGGCACGGGTTATGGAGTTGGGCTGCCCAGCAAGCCTCCTGGGCAATGCATGTTACTTAAGCAGCCCAGGCACACACTTCTGCATACTACCTCTCAATGAGGATGGTTGGTGTGCCCTCGGGGTATTATTCTCCTGCGATATCCACACTAACAGAAGGCAAAGCGAAGCACTGGGCACTATGGGACGGAGTGCTAAAAAATTTGACTATCACTTTCCCTAGACATTTTTTATATATATATATATATATATAAATATATATATACACATACACATACATACATACATACAACTCTGACAACTGTTAATGCATTTATTTAATCATCTTAAAGGCATTTTGCTGATGACCTAACCTGGCCAGGTACAGGATGATTAGGATAAACAGGTGAAGAAACAAACATGGTCCCTTTCAATTTAGTTAGGGAAAAAGATACTTGGCAAACAAAGAGCCACACAAATGCCCAGCTGAGTGCACTTCAAAAAAGTTCATGAAAATGAAATTGAAAGATAAGCTGATTTTGGTGCAAAGCAGTTTTGAAATCTGTACATAGTTTTTTTTTAATGATACACTTTTTTTCTTTTTCTTTTTTCTTTCTAACAGGCAGAGTGAACAGTGAGAGAGACAGAGAGAAAGGTCGTCCTTTGCCGTTGGTTCACCCTCCAATGGCCGCCACGGCCGGCGCACTGCGGCCGGCGCACCGCGCTGATCCGATGGCAGGAGCCAGGTGCTTTTCCTGGTCTCCCATGGGGTGCAGGGCCCAAGCACTTGGGCCATCCTCCACTGCACTCCCGGGACACAGCAGAGAGCTGGCCTGGAAGAGGGGCAACCGGGACAGAATCCAGCGCCCCGACCAGGACTAGAACCCGGTGTGCCGGCGCCGCAAGGCGGAGGATTAGCCTAGTGAGCCGCGGCGCCGGCCAATGATACACTTTTTTAACTTTTATTTAGTAAATATAATTTTCCAAAGTACAGTTTATGGGTTACAATGGCTTCCCCCCCATAACTTCCCTTCCACCCGCACCCCTCCCGTCTCCTGCTCCCTCTCCCATTCCATTCGCATCAAGATTCATTTTCAATTATCCTTATATACAGAGGATCAATTTAGTATATATTAAGTAAAGATTTCATCAGTTTGCACCACACAGAAACACAGAGTGTAAAATACTGTTTCAGTACTACTTATAGCATCACATCACATTGGACAACACATTAAGGACAGAGATCCCACATGAGGAGTAAGTACACAGTGACTCCTGTTGTTGACTTAACAATTTGACACTCTTGTTTACGGCATCAGTAATCTCCCTAGGCTCTAGTCATGAGTTGCCAAGGCTATGGAAGCCTTTTGAGTTCGTTGACTTCAATCTTGTTCAGACAAGGTCATAATTAAGTGGAAGTTCCCTCCTCCCTTCAGAGAAAGGTACCTCCTTCTCTAATGGCCCCATTCTTTCTACTGGGATCTCACTCGAAGGGATCTTTCATTTAGGTGTTTGTTTGTTTGTTTTGCCAGAGTGTCTTGGCTTTCCATGCCTAAAATACTCTCATGGGCTCTTCAGCCAGATCCGAATGCCTTAAGGGCTGATTCTCAGGCCAGAGTGCTGTTTAGGACATCTGCCATTCTATGAGTCTGCTGTGTATCCTGCTTCCCATGTTGGATCATTCTCTCCCTTTTTGATTCTATCAGTTAGTATTTGCAGACACTAGTCTTGTTTGTGTGATCCCTTTGACTCTTAGACCTATCAGTGGTGATCAATTGTGAAATTGATCACTTGGACTAGTGAGATGGCATTAGTACATGCAACCTTGATGGGATTGTATTGGAATCCCCTGGCCACATTTCTAACTCCACCATTTGGGGCAAGTCCAACTGAGCATGTCCCAAATTGTACATCTCCTCCCTCTCTTATTCCCACTCTTATATCCAACGGGGATCAATCTTCAGCTAAATCCAAACACCCAAGAATAACTGTCTGTTAACCACAGAGCTCAACCAATAGTATTAACCAGAACAAAAAAAAATACTAAAATGGATAAAGTATTAAATTGTACATCAACAGTCAGGACAAGGGCCAATCAAGTCACTGTTTCTCATAGTGTCCATTTCACTTCAACAGGTTTCCTTTTTGGTGCTTGGTTAGTTGTCACCAATCAGGGAGAACATATGATATTTGTCCCTTTGGGACTGGCTTAGTTCACTCAGCATGATGTGTTCCAGATTCCTCCATTTTGTTGTAAATGACCAGATTTCATTGTTTTTGATTGCTGTATAGTATTCTATAGAGTACATGTCTGATAATTTCTTTATCCAGTCTACTGTTGATGGGTATTTGGGTTGGTTCCAGGTCTTAAGCTATTGTGAATTGAGCTGCAATAAACATTAATGTGCAGACAGCTTTTTTGTTTGCCCATTTAATTTCCTTTGGGTAAATTCCAAGGAGTGGGATGGATGGGTTGAATGGTAGGGTTATATTCAGGTTTCTGAGGAATCTCCAGACTGACTTCCATAGTGGCTTAACCAGTTTGCATTCCCACCAACAGTAGGTTAGTGTCCCTTTTTCCCCACATCCACACCAGCATATGTTGTTGGTAGATTTCTGAATGTGAGCCATTCTCACCAGGGTGAGGTAAAACCTCATTGTGGTTTTGATTTGCATTTCCCTGATTGCTAGTGACCTTGAACATTTTTTCATGCATCTGTTGGTCATTTGGATTTCCTCTTTTGAAAAATGTCTATTGAGGTCCTTGGCCCATCTCTTAAGTGGGTTGTTTGTTTTGATGTTGTGGAGTTTCTTGATCTCTTTGTAGATTCTGGTTATTAACCCTTTATCTGTTGCATAGTTTGCAAAAACAAAGTCCGAGGCATCACAATACCAGATTTCAGGACATACTACAGGACAGTTATAATCAAAACAGCATGGTACTGGTACAGAAACAGATGGATAGACCAATGGAACAGAACAGAAACACCAGAAATCAATACAAACATCTACAGCCAACTTATATTTGATCAAGGATCTAAAACCAATTGCTGGAGCAAGGACAGTCTATTCAGCAAATGGTGCTGGGAAAACTGGATTTCCATGTGCAGAAGCATGAAGCAAGACCCCTACCTTTCACCTTACACAAAATCCATTCAACATGGATTAAAGACTTAAATCTATGACCTGACACCATCAAATTATTAGAGAACATTGGCAAAACTCTGCAAGATAAAGGTACCGGCAAAGACTTCTTGGAAAAGACCCCGGAAGCACAGGCAGTCAAAGCCAAAATTAACATTTGGGATGGCATCAAATTGGGAAGTTTCTGTACTACAGAAGAAACAATCAGGAAAGTGAAGAGGCTACCGACAGAATGGGAAAAAAATATTTGCAAACTATGCAACAAACAAATCATGATACACTTTTTAAAAATCTTTATAGTATAGAGAATAGATTGCATGTATATCATAGATAAAATTTTTCATGAAATTTTTGAAGACTTCTTGTTTGGATTACAAAATTTTTGCATTAAAACAAACCTATCCTCTAATCCCATTTTCTGCTAACTTTCTGAAGTACCCTTGTAGAATGCTGAACTGTGATCAGCACAACTGAGACAGACTGGCTTGGCATAGAAGAGAGTACCTAGGAGGCCTCTGTGGAACAACCATTTAGGTGGAGATCCCAAGGGGCAGTCAGTCAAGTGGGCAGAGCCTCAGATGGGAGCAGCCCACAATGTGTGAAAGCAGAGAGCTGCTAACAGCTAACGAGCTGCAGGGTTTGGGGGGGGTCATCAAGGGTCCCGGCATGCAGGTTTGCAAAACCAAACTACAGAGTTTAGAGTTTATCCTGATAATAGAAGACACAATGCAAGGCTTTTGTTTGAAAGGCGGAGAGACAGAGACAGAGATCTTTCATCCATGGGTTCACTCCCCAAATCCCTGAAATAGCCAGTGCTCAGCCAAGCCAACACCAGGAGCCTGGAACTCAAACCAGCTCTCTCATGTGTGTGTAGAGGGGTGGGAGAGGTACAGGGCGGGGGAGGCAGGGGTGGTACGCAAGGACCTGGAGTATTTGAGTTACCATCTGCTACTTTCCAGGGTACACAGCAGAAGGAAGCTGAAACTGGGAATGCACTTGAACCCAGGCATACTAATATGAGCATCCCAAGTGGCATTTTAACTGCTACAGCAAACACCTGCGCCTAGTGTATGTTTTAAGAAGTTCAGCCAGGGGTCAGCGTTGTGGCACTGTAGGCTAAGCCTCCACCTGTGGAGCAGCACAGGTTCCTGTCCTGACTGCTCTTCTTCAGATTCAGCTCTCTGTTAATGGCCTGGGAAAGCAGCGGAGGAGGGCCCAAGTGCTTGGGCCCCTGTGCCCGCGCAGGAAACCTGGAAGAAGCTCTTGGCTCCTGGTTTCGGATCAACCCAGATCCGGTGACGTGGCCATTTGGGGAGTGAATCAGCTGATGGAAGACCTTTCTTGGTCTGTCTCTCTCTCCCCCTCTCTGTCTGTA